GAGGAAAGACCCCCCCTCACATAAACAGGATGGGACACCCTGGGTCTCAGCCCCCAGCCCCACATGCAGTGCTGTTGCAGCCCCCTCCCCTCCCTGCCCCACCACGTGCTGGTCCCCAAGCGGGGCCGGTAAGTCCCTTTTTTCTGAATATACTGTGCGGTTTTTCAAAGTTTTTGGTTTTGATCCTTTGGGGTGGGGAAAAAAATGATCAAAGAGGAAACAAAAAAGAAACTTTGAAAAAACGTGCAATATATTGATCAAAAAAATGGGACTTACCCCAGCCAGACCCCTAAGGGCTGCTCCACGCTCGGGCGCTCACGGAGGCGGCAGCCTGGGCCTCGCACAGCACCCAGCAGCCGTGACGGGGGCTGGAAAGAAGAAGATGGGGTCAGCGTCAGCAAGCGGGATGGCTGCTCTTAGGGCAGTGGGGGAGGAAGAGGAGGAGGAGGAGGAAGAGGATCTGGTAGCAGAGGGGTGAGTGCAGACAGGGAGGATGGGATGGGGAGGGTGCAGGCAGAGCAAAGGTGTCACCAAATCCACAGGGAGGGACAGCGCGAAGCTGAGGGTGGGGGCAGCTCTTTGGCAGCACTGCAAGACACACGTCCTGGCTGAACCCAAGCTGAGACCTGACTCAATTCGTTTCATCCATGGGTAGCAGCAGCAGCCAGCACGTCTTACCAGTCCCCTTCACAGCTGGGGCTACAGCAAGACCCCGCCAGCCTTGTGGGCAGCGGCACAGACAGCAGCAACATCAGCCGGTGGCATCTCGCCGACGCTCGCGGCCGGTCCCACATTTACACACCAAGCAGCAAATTAAAAACCCCTTTCAAAGTAACCCCAGTGAGACCAGCAGCCCGCTGAGGAGCACCAGACCACGCTGGCCCATGTTTTATGCTGACATGGTTGAGTCAAGCAAGAAAGAACAGCTTCTGACTGCAAAACCCAGCTGGGACTCCGGCCGGTTTTTTTTGCTGAGAGAGAAACCGCCGCGCGGCAGCAGGTCTGTCCGGATCAGAGCGCAGATAAACCTCCCTCAGACACAGCTCCCTCCCCTCAGCTCCCTGGCAGCAGCCCACAGCACTGGGACTGGGCTGGGGAGGGGTTTGCTGGGCAGGAGGGGAGGATAGAGTGGCTGCTGGGACGTGTCTCTCCTGGCAGAGGGGAGATGAAGCGGTGACGTGGGGACAGATGTGCTGGTTGTGGCTCACCCCCCCAGCCACTGGCCAGGGCCACGTCTGGCTGTTCTGGGCTTATGACACTTGTCCCACGGAGGTGAGGGGCTGGGTTCTCCCAGGGAATGGTGATCCCTCACTACAGAGCTTGCAGGAGCACAGAGTTTATGTGTGTGAATGCAAATCACCAGTTCAGTTGCTGGAAACCCAAAGCAGCAGGTTTTGCACCCAGCAGATGTGAGGGGAGATGTCCCAGCCCGGGCGTGGGGAGCTGGCAGTGCTGGCTCAGAGGTGCTGCAGGAGGGGAAGCCCCAGAGCACCACGTCCCTCTGCCTGGCTGGGTCCCAGCTCTCCCAAAGACACGTGTCACAGCCCAAGAGCCTGGACACAGCTGAACTGTCCCCATGCACAGAGCTCAGGAGCAAACAGAGCTGGTCCGGGCTCTGGGGCAGCCTCAGCCTCTGCTCTCAGCCGTGTCCTGCAGCTCGGCGCGACCACACAGCCTGACCCTGCGGGCGGTTGTCTGGGTTAACCACCCTCCTTGGCACAACTCACCAGGACAGGTTTGGAAACACCCAGCAGAGCCAACCAAAGAGACACCCTGTGAAACACTCTGGGGCCTCCTGGAGCTGACAACACTGAACACTCAGCAACGTCCAGCCTCGGGGGTACGAGCGTTGGTTTTTACAAAGCACCATCCCAGCTGCAAAGTTCAAGGGAGGGGGATTTTCTGTCCCCCTCCTTCCCTGCTGTCCCTCCCACCCCATGGCAGAGCAGGACGCAGCCCACCTCCGGTGTTGGTGATGGTGACAGGCACACCCTGGACTTGCACCCCGTTGATGTTGATGGTCTGCATGGCCTGGGCCGCGGCCGCCAGTTGAGCCGCGTTCAAGCTGATGACGCCCCCGGCGGGAGCGATCTTTGGCAGGGTACGTTCCTTCCGCACGGCCGGCTTCTTGCTGCTGCTGCTGCCACCTGTGATGGAGCTGCGGGACATGGGGCTACTGCATGAGGTCCCAGATGAAGCTACTGTCATGGATGGAGCTTCCTGAAGCAGCACTGTCTGCAGCTCACCTGATGGTGTTTTGAAGTAGACCTGATGGGAGGAGAAGAATGAGACCAGTCACCGTCACTGGGCAGATCCCACTGCACCACCACAGCTGCCCTCCCCACACAACCCAGGAATAGAATCCCAGACTGGTTTGGGTTGGGAGGGACCTTCAAGCTCATCCAGTTCCAACCCCCCTGCCAGCAGCAGGGACACCTTCCACTAGACCAGGTTGCTCAAAGCCTCATCCAACCTGGCCTTGAACACTTCCAGGGAGGAGCAGCCACAGCTTCTCTGGCCAACCTGGGACACTGTCTCACCACCCTCACACCAAAGAATTTCTTCCTCACATCTCAGCTCCATCTCCCCTCTGCCACTTTCAAGCCATCACCCCTTGTTCTCTCACTCCCTGCCCTTGGCCAAAGTCCCTCCCCAGCCTTCCTGGAGCCCCTTCAGGTACTGGGAGGCTGCTAGAAGGTCTCCCTGGAGCCTTCTCTTCTCCAGGCTGAACAGCCCCAACTCTCTCAGCCTGTCCTCACAGCAGAGCTGCTCCAGCCCTCGCATCATCCTTGCAGCCTGACACCTCCCTCCCAAGGTTGGCTCAACCAAACCCCAGCTGGTGGCACAGCAGAGGTTTCAAGGACACTGTGCTCCTATGGGTCCTCTAAAAGCAAGTGATCAGCAAAAGCAAACTAATAAAGCCCTGTGGAGGGAAGAGCAGTGCTCCCAACCCTCCTCAGACATCAGAGAATCTACACAAAGGACACCTAAACTGGCTGCCAAGTTGAGGATGTTTGGTAGCTCACAAAACCCTTCTGCTTTTTAAAGCCTGGGTAAGAGCCTGGAGGAGAAAGGTGGCAGAGGGAGCTTGCAGGAGGACACAGGTACCTGGGTAGGAGTAGGTTCCGTCGTCTGGATCTGGAAGTTCTGGGAAGATTTTTGAGGGACGGTGGGAAGAGTGGCAGAGGCAGCCTGGACCACACGTAAGGCCTGCTGTGGGATCTGCACCACCTGGGACTCCTGCTTGGGCTGCACCACCTGTACCTGCTGCACCACAGCGGGCTGGCCAGAGCCTGGGCTCTGCACGATCAGCAGGTTGTTACCCGCCTGGATGATGTTCTCCGCCGTGGTCTCTATCAACACCGTCTCCACCTGCTCAGCCACGGCCACAGCAGCAGGTGACACTGTTTTCTTTCGAGTCTTTTTGATGGGTTTTGAGGGGCTCTCTGCCTCAGTGGTGTTCACCAAGTTGTTCACGGGCAGGGTAAGAGTCACGTTGCTGCCACCTGCCAACTTGACCACGTTGCTTGTGCCCTGCGCCGGTGACGCTCCACCCTTCTGTGCCGGAGCCGGTTTGATGGGCACAGGCTTGTGAGAGGAAGAGGAAGGAGTGAGGATGGCTTGATTTGTGCCTGGAATAATCTGGATCTGGTTGGTGAGGTTGGGTTGGACCTGGATGGTCTGTCCCCCCATGGTCTGGAGCTGGGGCACCGCCTGGTACTGGATGTTGGCAGAGGAGCGGGTGCCCTTGTTGATGACCGTTGGGTTCTGAATGGCCAAAAAGAGCTGCCCCGCGGGGTAGGAGGCACCAACCTGAGAGCCCTGGATCTGGAAGAGGTTCCCTTTGGATGACAAGATCCCAAAGCTGTTCTTACTGGATCCCAGAGGGAGTGGAGCAGGTTTGATGGGGACGAGTTTGCGAGGTGCTGGCTGAGGAGGAGCAGGAGGAGTCACGGCGGCTTCCACGGCGGGGGGACCGATTTTGCTACATGTGGCTGCGAGGAGGGCGAGAGGAGACGGCTGGGAGTCCTGGGGAGTCGGGGGGAGAGGGGTCAGTTAGAGACAAGGGGCTTGTGCCAAACATCTGGGGAGCTGGTTGGTGAAGAAAAGGGTACATGCTATCAAAAGGGATCCAACCAGTGCTAATGAGACACCCCTCATTAAGGGAACTGCTTAATTACCCATCCCATGTGTGCCTTTAGCTCACCCCAGTCACACTGTCAGCCACCAGGATGGTGACTGCCTTTTAATCCTGTCCCTGTGTTCTTTAAAACTGCAAATACCCTGGCAGGCTGCTGGGATTTCCACCCACCACTTTTTGCAGGGTTACAGGCAGTTTTCATCCCAAGGCCACCCCGTGATATCAGCTGCTGACGTAACCCACGAGGTCCTTAAAGAAAATACAGCACTGGGAAGAGAAACAGCAACTGGGGAAGAGCTGGTGTCAGGGCTGGGAACAAATCCAGAGCGTGGCTCCCTCCTGCAGCCAGCCCTCCTCCTGATGCAGCAATGCTGGCTACAACGGGGGCAGGAGGGGCTGGACGACGGCCGGTTTGCCGTCCTGCACTCCAGGACGTGTCCCTTTGTCCCAGTACTGAACTGGGAGCCCACTGGTGTCCCAGTACTCACCTGGGCAGTGGAGGCAGCTGGCTGGAGGTATTCACTGGGGCTGACGATGCTGCCTCTTGATCTGTGAGAAGGAAGCAGAGAGACACAGGACTAAAACCAGCAGCAAGAGCTGAGCCCACAGCTCCTCACACACCCAGAACAAGGCCCCAGTGCCCCAGGGACCCTCCCAGGGTCTCCCTGCATCACCTACAACATCACACCTCACCCACACGCCTTTGGGGGGGGTTACAAAGGGGATAAAGAATCTCATCCCCCTCTCCCTGCGCCCTCCTTTGCCCTTTATCTGCCACCACAAGGAAATGACAATTATGGTGGGTCACCAGCTGCAGCTCTCGCTCCTCTGCCTGCATCCCAACACAGCCCCCCTGAGCTGAGACCCTCACTGCCCTGCAGAGCCCCCCCAATTCAAAGCAGAGACCCACAAGCCCAGTTTGCCAACAGCCTCCCCACGCCACCTCCCTTTCACTTGTTTTTTTAACTTTGGGTTGGTTTTTTTTTTAACTTTGGGAGTTTTGGTGCAGAATTGTGTTTTTCAAGGCTGGGAAAAACACTGTTACAATTAATTTTGGTATGTTGATGGTGCTGAGTGTTTGCAAGTCGTTAAGTAATTAAAATCATAGAATCCCAGACTGGTTTGGATTGGAAGGGACCTTCAAGCTCATTCAGTCCCAACCCCCCTGCCAGCAGCAGGGACACCTTCCACTAGACCAGGTTGCTCAAAGCCTCATCCAGCCTGGCCGAGAACACTTCCAGGGAGGAGCAGCCACAGCTTCTCTGGGCAACCTGGGACACTGTCTCACCACCCTCACAGTGAAGAACTTCTTCCTAATATCTCATCTAAACCTCCCCTCTTTCAGCTTAAACCCATTTCCCCTTGTTTTGTCATTAGTTGCCCTTATGAAAAGTCCCTCCCCAGCTTTCTTGTAGGCCCCAAGAAAGGGTTTAACTCAGGGTGTCTCTCAGGGTTTAACTCAGGGTGTCTCGTGGTACTGGGAGATGCTGGAACTGCAGGAGGGATGGGAAGTGCTGGCAGAGGACAAGCAGCACGATGAAGATATGAAAGTCCTGGATGGTTTAAAACACCAAACCATGAAGTGTTGTGTCAGCACAGTGAGGGGCTTTTTGCTGCTCAGGGGGGTGAGGCCAGAGCGGTGGCAGAGCACGGGTCTCTGGCTCTGGGGAGGTGAAGTGAAGATCTGGAAGGGGCAGAGCTGCTGTTTAACCACCTCACACTCCTGCCTGGGGAGCTGTGGGAGATCCAGAGTTCAACTTGGGACCATACAGATGGGGAAAACTAAAACTAAGTGTGAGTTTTGTTTCAAAAGGAGCAAATTCCACACTGCACAGCCCAGCAAAGGCTCAGCAGCATCGCTGGCGAGGGAGACCAGAGGGATCAGCACAGGCTGGCTGAGGGGACAGGGCCAGCACCCAACCTCAGAAAGGACAAACTCCACCTCGTTTGAAGCACCATCCTCTGCCAGCACGTGGTTGCAGAAGCCCAGGCCCAAAAGGCATAAAAATAAGGCAGGAAAATGAGGGAGTTCTGTTGTTTTGGTGCTGTCAGGTAGCAGGGATGGTGCAGGAGGTGTATGTGTCGTCGTCACGTCTTCATAGGGCTTGAGGTTGGGAGAAAAGTCCTCCAGATCACTGAGATGAAGTCAATGCTCCAATAAAACCAGAGCTGAGCTCCCTCAGCTCCCCCTGCACCCCTCAGCTGCTTCCTTGGGAACACAAAACCTTTCACCAAAGAGAAAACCATGAAGAAAAAACAAACCAACCCCAATCTGAGCGATCAGGCCCTGGGCCAGGTCACCAAGGAGCCCGTTCCCCAAAGGCAGGCAGCTCAGCTCAGCTCAGCTCAGCTCACCCCACGCCAGCACGGGCTCCACAGCTCCTCTAGAGACACCACAGAGGCTTTTTCACAGCCCTGCTGCCACCCAGGACATAAATCCTTTGGGATTTGATGATGGAAATGATTCACCGTGTTCCTCAGCGAAGGGAACCTGTCCCCTGGAACCTCCTGGAGGTGGGAGCATCAGAGGTTCACACCCAGCGAGCTGCCTGGTGATAAAAGAACCTTTTCTACCCCAAAAACTCAGGGAAGCTCGTAGAGCTGCCCAAGTTCAGTGGCTGCACCCGCCCTTTCAGGCAGGATTAGGGCACTGCTGAGGATTAACAGCCCTGATTACAAATAGAGCAACGCTGAGCTGGCCAGAGAGAGACACACACACAGAGCCCAGGAGAGAGCTCATTAGTCTGAATGAATAATTAAGGATAACGACCCCGGGAGAGGTCCAGTCCTGGACTGGAAACTCCATGAGTTTCTCACTTCTTGTCCAATTGACACCCCGGTCCAGTGGTGACATCCTGAGGGTGACACGTGGTACAACCCTACTCACAGTGACACAAACGGGTCCCACGTGGCTTCTCTCCGGGTGCTGGTCCAGGACAGAACCAGGAGCGGGACTGGCACCACCTGGGGGGATGTTTCAGGGTCTGACCTGGGGGATATGGACCCTCCTGAGGGGCAGGAGCTCCCCTC